ATATATATATATATATATATATATATTATATTTAAAAAAAAAAAATATTAATTCTATTCTTGATTATGTTTTTATTATCTTTTTTATTAATATAAAAATCTTTATATAAATATTTATTTAAAAAAAAAAAAAAAAGTAAAAATAAAATAAAAAATGATGGTAAACTTATATAAAAATATTTATTATTTTTTTAATCGCTTAATTTATTTTTAATTTTTAGTAAAATTTGACAAATACTTTAAATATTTAAAATGGACTTCCTTTTATTAAAAAAATGAATAAATGATAAAACATCCAGTTTAATCAATATAAGATTCTGTACTAAATAATAATCCATTTTAATAAAAAATATATTATTTTTAATAATAATTAGAAATTATATGGTGAAGAAGAAGCTAAAATGAAAACATATGCAAGATTATATGGATCTTAATTACCTATGATATTAACAATTGAAAGAAATATTTTAGCTTAACCTACAAGATTACCAGGTGAAAAATAATCTCTTTTTGGTAAACATTAAATTATATTAATAAATATTTTTTTTTTTTTAATTTAATAATTTTTTTATTTTAATTAAAGGTTTATAAGTATTGATGAACAAATATAATGAAATAGGATTTGAAGACTTTTTAGGACGTAAAAATAAATAAATATATATATTATATTATTGTTAAGATAAGAAAAAATATATTATTAATTTTTATCAAAAAGTTGAAAAACCATATGTTAAATAATTAAGTGCTCATGATAGATTTTTATAATCTTTTGATTGATTTTCGATAATAAAAAAATAAAGAATAAATATTAATTTTTTTTTTTTTCTAAGCAATTATTTATTATTATATTTTTAAGAATAATATTAAATTTTTAAAAAAATAATAAAAATTAAATATATATTAAAAAAAATTAAATTTTAAATTAGATTTTTATTTAATAAAAAAAAAATCATAAATAAAAATATGTTGATTTAGAAAAATATTCAAATATTTTTTCGTTTATTAAAAAATAATATATTATTAAAAATATAAAATATATATATATATATATATATATTTATATATAATTTTTCTTTAAGATATATTGAATTGTCTTTAAATTTATTAGTAAAATAATTTATTTAAATATTATTTGAATATTTAAAATAAAAAAATTATACATTTTTTATTTATTTTTTTATTTATTTTAATTAAATACATTTCAAATATTTTTTTTTTTATAATTCTATATATACATTATTTAAAAATGAATTCAGTTATAGAACTTATTTTTTTAAGATAAGCTTAAAATAATACTTCCTTCGAGTTTATTATTTTCACTTTAATCAGTATTGTTGATTTATTAACAATCTTTTCCTTTATTTTATTATTAATTTCCTAAATCATTATTATTATGTATTAAATGATTATTCAAAGATAAAATTTTAACTTTCTTTTTAGGCTTTTCTTAAGGATTAGAATCAGAATCTGACTGATTTTCACTAATTTTTTTTATAGGTCTTTACATAGGAGATGTATTTGAAATTAAAGAAGCTTTTCTTTATCTTGCTATTTCTGAGTTTTTTCTTAATTAGAATCCGCTTTTCTTTAGTTTTTTATACTAAATAATTAAATATATATAATATTATATTACATTTATATGGTTATTATTATAAGTTGTATGATCTTGTTCTTCTAATTAATGTATATGTGTTTCTTCTTATACTATTTTATTTATTTTATTTGTATAAAAATTAAAATAAAATATAATTTACTTTTTAAATAATTATGAGAATTAATTGGAGATATTGAATTATTTCTATTTCTATTAAATGTTTCTAATTATTCATAACTATTTTTGTGATTTATATAGTTATTTTAATAATTAGATTTGATTAAATTAAGATAATTTTTTTCCTTTTTTAAATAAAAAATATATATAAATATATAAATATATAAATATATATATATATATATATTTATATATATATTTATTTAAAAAATATTACTTAATTTTATAATATTTCTGAGTTTTTATTTTTCATAATATAATTCTTTTATTAAGAATCTAAAGTAAAATTATTTTATAAATTTTTAGGATTTCCTTCCATAGCCTTAATACCTGGAGTTAAAAATAATAAATTTGGAGTATTAAGAAAGCTTTCAAAAGATTCTTTGTTTTCTATTTTATTTCCAAATTAATGAAAGTTACCATTTTTCATTTATTATGTTTCCTATTCTTTTATTTTTTATTATACACAAAGGTCTAATTCTTCAATCCATAAAGGTACAGTTGGTTAAAAAGGAGGTTCTCTTAATAACAAGGTTAATTTTTTTCTAAAAAATAAAAATATAAATACTTTATTATGATTTTGTTTTACAATCTTTTTTTTGTTAATTAATCAGTATTCATACTTTAAGAATTTCTTTCAATATTTACTTTTCTTCTAACTACAATATAATCTTCGGGATAAACTGACAAAATTTATTTGTAAATATTAAAAGCTTCTATATAGTTTTTCCCTATTTCATAAAGAAGTGCTATATTAAATAAAGTCTCCAAATTTTTTTTTAATTCATAACTTTTACTAAAACAAGCAAAAGAATCATCCATCTATATATATAAATATATATTGTTTAATTAAATATATATATACATATTTATATATACCATATTTAATTTAAAAAATGTTATTCCTAAATATGACCAACATATACTATTTTATTCATTTATTTATAAAGCTTTAGCGAAATATTCCAAAGCTTATTTTGTTTAATTTTATTAATCATAATTTTTAGCTGTAATCATTAAAACTTCAAAATCTTTATTATTTTATTAATGTGCTTTAGCAATTAAATCTATTGATTCTCTCTTTTTTACATATATATTAAATTAAAAAAAAAAAGTTATTTTAAATTTACATAATTTTTTTTCTAAAATAATAGCCAACTTAAACATTTTAGTGCATTTATATTTTAATTGTCGATTTGTTTTGCCTTTTAATAACATACTTGTGCTTCATCTAACTATTTTTTTATGTTTTTGGTACATATTGTATTATAAATACTTCTTTTATACATTCTAATTATAGACCAGCGTTACATAATATTTCTATAGATTTACTTGGACTGAATATATTTTTTTCAGTTTAAATTAAACTTTGTAAAAAGTACTAATAAAAAAAATAATAAATAAATTATAACAAAAAAATTAAAATACTTATGAAGATTCATAATGAAGATTTTAATATTTTTTAACTATAGCTTTATAGACATCAATTATAGGTTAATAAATATATTTTTATGAATATTTATTAACATTATTAAAATTTTATTCTACTTTATCAAATTATCCTTACTAAAAAAAAAAAAATATTAAGAATTATAATATATTTATTTATGTTTGAAATATAAATATGTTTTTATTTTTTACTTTATAAAATGCAACTCCTAATTCAAAATGTATATTTGGATCTTTCTATAGTATTTATTTTAGATTTTTTTTTATTTTATATAAAAAAAATATAGATATTTTTTTTTTTATTTAAGTTGATTTACATTTGCTTTAGCAGATAGTTCCATTGCCTTTTAATAATATAAAATAACTTTTTCATGTTTTTTTAATCTGAATGAACAATGTCCTGCTAAAATTTAAGCATTTCCTTTGTTTGGGTTTGCATAGTAAATAATTTCGTAAATTTAAAGAGCCTTAATTAAATTTATATATATATATATATATTTATATATATTTTTATATAAATATATAATAATAAAAAAAAAGATAAATTTTTACTTATTCATATTAGTTATTTTAAATATAATATTCTCCTCTTTTTAAATATTAACCTTAATTTCGTAAAACAAAATCTGTTGTTTATGGAATTAAATAAATATCTTCTTCTTATTTTATATTTTGCTTCTATTCAGTTTATTTAATGTCTTATTGATTTTGTTGTTGTTATGAAATTTATTCTTATTAATTTTAGTTCATATTTATTTTTGACTTTTTTTTTTATATAATTATTTTTTATTTTTTAAATTTTATATTAATTTAAATTTTTATATTATTAAAAACTTTTCTTTATTTATATATAATTTTTATTTTATTATTAATTACATTATTATATTATACATTTTTTTTTTTAAAAAAAAAAATATATATTTTTTTTATGTACACCTTTATTAATTATTTTATATATATATATTTTAAGAAGTACACTTAATTAATATTTTTTAAAAAAACTAATAATATAATTGATATAAAGCGAAAACAAAAAATTACTTAAATTTATATTTTAGATTGAAAACAGTTTTAATAATGGAAACAAAAAAAAAACAAAAAAAAGTTTAAGAAACAAAATTTAATTATAATAACAATAAATATAATTTTAACTTTTTAAAAAAATACAAATTTTATTCTTATTAAAACAATCTTTATTAATATTTTATTTTTTTTTAAAAAAAAAAAAACATTTAAAAAAAAAATTAAAATAAATGCAAAAAACCATAGATTAATAAAAAGCTAAACTAAAAGAATGGATGACATAAACAAAATTACATAAATACAAACCACCAGACAATTAATAAATATAAAATATAAATAACAAATCACAAGCATTTAATTTATAGATTTAACAATTAGAAAATATTTCATATAAACCCTATCATGTAAAAATAAAAAAAATATAAACAAAAAATAAAATAATATTATAATAAAAGAATTAAACTGAAGTTCTATGTGTTAGAATTTTTATAAACATATTTTCTAAAAAAACCAATTAATTTTTAGGAAACACATATAGCAGTATCGGATATTAATTAATATGTGACCAAAGTTTTTGTAAACTAGATTTAAAAACATAACCAATAACCCTATATTATCATACAAACTAATAAACATCAGACCAAATATATGGTATAATAGAACTCCATATATATGAAGTAGGATAACATGAAACTATTTTAAATACAGAATGTGTAGGGATTGCTGAATTTGAGCTTTAGAAATAAGGTGAATTGAGACTTCCAGTAAAAAAAAGTTCGACAAATAATTATTTATTAATGGATAAAAGAGTGGAAAATACAACAATTATTTTTAATGTTTTAATTATGGAATCAAGCGAATTTAATAAGGCAAAACATTTAATTCCTATGTTAACTATTGTAGATACTTAAGAAAATATAGAAGGGCTTCTATATAATCCTTAAACGAAAAAAAGCTAGCTTCCTTAAGGAAATTAAAGAGTTGATTTACAAGTAAATTATTAAATTTCAATAGAGGGTATTACATTGGAATTTCCGGAAAATCTTGAAAATTAAATTTTATAATGTGCTACTTAAATGGTTAACTAGACCCATATTTTTAACCAATAACACTTATAAGGATTAAGTGTTATTATAAAAAGTAGAAATCTTATTTGCGGATATCATAATACTTGGTAATTAGTAAATTCTCTAGGAATTAAAATAAAGTTTAGTTAAGGGATAAAGGATTTTATAATTAAAAAAATTTACTAGAATATAAAGGGAAAGTCGAAATTGATAATGTGTTTCCATCAGAAGTTTCAATGTTAATTTTTTAAGTAGAATATGAAGTTTAGATAGAAACTAAGGATATTAAATATAATTATGAGTATATTTTAGGATATGTTCCAGTTTATATTAGTGATAAGTTTGGATATTAATTTATTGATGTAACATTTAATAATATATATATATATATATATATATATTTATATATATATATTTAATTTTTATACAATTATAATATTTATAATGTTTATATATTAATCATATAT